TCAGTCTGTTACAGAACACAACAAGGGGGGCCTGAGACAATATACTATTATTGAAAGAAGGCCCTGGGTCCGTTATGTCCGCTACCAGAGGAAAGACGTCTCTCAATGCCAGAGATTCGTGAAAAGGAAAGGAAATGTTTATTTAATGCTATGCTAACTTAAAGTAGTGACCTAATGTCTTTATCAAAATCCTAAAGTCCCTTAAAACACCCACAAACACAGTCACAGTCCTTCCTTCCTTCCCCCTTTGCCCAGTCCAGAGTACCGTATCTCAGGGAAGGAAAACGAAGTCCATGGCTCAGACAGTCCTCTGGTTCTTCCCAGTTAGTCCTCCATCTCAACTGGGAGACCTCCCTGGGTTCCCGGCACCCTCGGCTGAGTCACCGGGATCTCTGTTAAAACCAGGTGGTGGTTCCCCTTCTAAAGCTGTGGGGGTCCCCACTCTGTCCAGGCCTCGTGGTTCTCCCTTTCAGGGCTGCGGGAGTCTCCACTCTGTCAAGGCCGCGTGGTTCTCTCCTAAAGCAGCACGGTTCTCTCTAGGATGCAGGAGTCTCCACTCCGTCAAAGCTGCGTGGTTCTCTCCTCTCAGGGCTGGGCATGGCTCTCCCTCCTAAAGCAGCATGGTTCTCTCTCTTAGGGCTGCACATGGCTCTCCCTCCTAAAGCAGCATGGTTCTCCTTCCTAAAGCAGCATGGTTCTCCCTCAATGGCTGAAGTCCTCCCTATTCTGCTAAAGCCACATGGTTCTCTCTCAGTGGCTGAGATCCTCCCTATTCTGCTAAAGCCGCGTGGTTCTCTTTTCTCAGGGCTGCGCATGGCCCTCCTTCTCAGGGCTGCACATGGTTCTTCCTCTCAGGGTAGCATGGTTCTCTTTCCTCTCAGGGTTATGGGAGTCTTCACTCTGCTAAAGCTGTGTGGCTCTCTCTCCAATGGCCGCCAAGTCTGGGTTTTAAATCCCCGCGGCCAATCTTCCTCTGCAGCCTCATTTCCGACTCCTCCCACACTAGGCTTCACATGCCAGAATTCATATCCTTCCAGCTTTACTGGGCTGCAATCTTGAGTCTGGGCAGGCGTGGCCCCATGTCCTGGAGCCAATCTTCTCCAAGCTCCCACACAGGCGCTGTAGCTTGGGGGATCTGCCCCCAGTCACTTCTTGGTGGGGAAGTTACTTCCATTCCCCTGGCTCAGAGATGATCACAGCTATTTAACATATCTAAGCGACCAGCCAAAGGCTATAGATATGTTAAATGACCACGCCAGAGCTTAGCTGCAAGGCTGTTGCTATGCAAAACAGCTCTCAATGGTCCTGCTCCATTTGTCCCTTCCCCCAACCCACACCCTGGGTGGGGGGGTTTGGAGACATCTTAAAATCTCCTGGACACCTTAAGTTCTGGACCCCATTTCAAATGCCCATTTGGGGTCCCCCCTCTTGGCTGCACCCTGTAACAAGTCCACTGAGCCACACCAGCCAGTGTGCCTCTCTCTTTCTACAAAGCTCCAAGGACCCTTCTTTCTCTCTGTAACTTGTTTCCTGAGCCTGTGTCTTCTACCACTCACTTCTTCTACCTCTGTGACTTTCTAAGTAAACTTCCTCCTATAGTTGGAGTCTAGGCTCTGAATTCTTTCCTGGCCAGGACTAAGTACCCAAGTTGCTAAATCAAGGTCCAGTCTGACCCCACTGGTCTAACACTTGTGCCATTCTCATCCCTCCAACCTCTCCATCAGAGACTGCATTTGGAGACAGAAGAGCAAGCCAGGGAGGGGAGAATATATTTGCCACACAATAGCTAAGAATTTCTCTAATCATTAGTTTCCTCATCGGTTAAATGAGATACTATAGCTCTGTGTCTGCTATGTAGGAAGCGCTTTTAAAATTTTATCTTATACCTCTTACAACCGAGGACTCCAGGCAGGAGGACCGTACTTCACACCATTTCTGGGCAGACAGAATCTGCCTCCTGTTTTTGACACTCTACAAAGAAAGATGTCATCTTCCTCAGCCACCCTTTTACAATCCTCATAGACTGGTGTGGAGGGCAGTCCCTAAGGTTTCCCCTTTGTCCCCTAGCTGCAATCCACATGCAGACCAGGTGTCCAGTCCTAAGTCACACCACAGACGCATTCAGCAGGGCACGTGGGGAGGGGACCACAGCTTTTACCCTCAGCTGTGTCAGCCCGCTGTGGGGGATCCCTGAGTGAGCTCAGAGCGACAGGGAGGGACTCACCAGGAGGGAAGAAGCCCTCTCTCCTTTCAAACATGTCATGTATTGTGATAGTCACCAGGATTCCCAAAAGCGTGAAAGAGGGGACTTTTAGAACAGTATCAAAGGGGTCAGTCACCTCCTTCCTGCTGAGACAGGAGAAGCCAGAGCTCAGATGGGGAACATTCTGACCTGTGTGGGTGGAGAAGCATTTAGGGAAGGCCAAGATCAGAGGTCACTCCCCATTGTGACCCCACACCACCCCTCAGCAGAAAGGCTTGGATTTGTTTCTAGCTGCCCTCCTTCCTTTTCCTCCTCCCCAGGAGGAGGACGCAGAGTCTACAATGAAGCCAGGGGCGGTGAGGATAAAGACCCTCGAATAGGCCCATCCCCATGGGTTTTGAGGGCCAGAGGCTTCATGACTAGGACAGCATGAAGCACTATGTGCGAACCTGTCCGTAGTTTACAGAACCTGCTTGCACCCTGGCAGCCCTGACCCCTCCACAGCCCCGCGGACTGGGCATTAGCCTTCCCCCCATTTTACAGGCATCCAAGCTGAGTCTCGGAGAAATAGTTACTTACCCAACGCAGCTCTCAGTCAACAGACCTGTCCTACCTAATGGTTGGCCTCCATCAAGATACCAACAATAAAGACAGCAGGCATTACCACTTTGGAGCCAGGCATATAGCCAAATAGATGCTTCACTTCCGTTAGCTCATTTGCCTTCAGAAGGACCCAGAACTAAGTGAGAGTGCCCCATTTTACAAGCTTGGAGAAGGCAACAGCAATGAGAGCACACTTGGTGCCGGGCACTGTTCTAAACACTGTAATGTACACTAACCCCTCAGCCTGCCCAACAGTCCTGTGAGAATATGTGCCGGTATCATCTCCATGTCAGAGATACAGAAACTGAGGCTCAGAGACATCGGAGGCCACACAGCCAGCAAGTAGCAGAACCAGGATTTGAACCAAGCACTCTTACCGCTATTCCACATCTGGCAGTACAGACCCCTTACCCAAGGTAACACTTCCAGACAGAGTCAGAATCTATTTGAAACCCTTGCCCCACTGAAAACCCAGGATCTTCCCACCCAGCGATCCTGCTGAGGAGAGGGCTAGAGGGCTCCTCTGGGTCCTGTCCCTCCATCTAAGAGACAGCTTTCTGCCAGTCAGTCTCCAGAAACAGGACGCATGGAGACAGAGGCCTCCATGGTGGCATCTGGCCCAGTCACACCGACAAAGCTGGGACCCCAGCCCACCAACCTTCTCTGCCAGTTTTCCCCTCTCTGTCTGTTGCTCACTGGCTGAAACCAGCCCCCGACTCCTTTTCTCCTTTGGTCCCCACTGAAAGCTCTGAATGGGAGGAGGAGAGGGAGCTAGGAGGGAGAGTAGAGTAGGTCGTTGGCAAGCCCTGCCTTCCCCTCCAGGAAGAGGAAGAGGAGCTGGGTGGGGGTGAGGAGAGGGGCGTGGGGAGTGGTTCTGGAGTTGGGGAAGGGGTAGCTTAGCAACCACTGGCTCATGAGTCACAAAGCAGACAGGCTGGCCCACAGAACCCACAAGCCTTCCCTTTGACTGCCCTCTTGCTCCTTCCTGCTTGGGCAACAGTGGCTTCTCGCCCACGTGCTAGAGTGGGCACTTGCCCTGGTGAGTCCGGGAATCTGTCCGGGGCCGGAAATGGACACTAGAGCCAGACTGGGGCCCAGGGGAGGGCCCAGAGGGTCTGAGATGGGGAGAGGAATGTTCTGTCCCTGGGCTCTTGTGCATGTTCAGATTCCTGGTGCCTGGCTGGCTGGGGGCCCACGGGGTGAGGGAAGTGGGGGAAAGGCAGGCCTGACCTCTCTACAGCAGCTGTGGGGTGTGACCAGCAGTGTCTTATAAAATCAGTTTAATGGGTCACATCTAATGTTTCTGGGGTTTCCACGGCTTCTGGGGTCCCTTGAAGACTCTGTGATTCCGATTCAGAATGCACCAACTTCCTGTTCTTCCCAACACCATCCCTGGCACCCGAAGTCCCAGCACTTCGGCTGTGTGTGCATGTTCTCAGGCCCCTAGGTTCAGATGAATCACCATTCTCGGCTTCGGCACTTGTCATCTTTCCTCCACGTCATTTCATTCGTTTACTTAACAATACAATGGACACCAGCAAACGCACCTCCCAAACCGAGACATGATGTGTCACCACAAGTGTGACTTAGGTGCTCCCCCCCCCCCCCCCGCCGACCTGCCTGCTCTCAGGAAGAGCTACTAGCTGAATTCTGTGATTCACATTTCTTTGCTTTTCTTTTCTTGTTTCATCGCATTTTCAGATATTACTTGCTTTTGAACTTTGTGTTTAATAAGGATCTTAAGCTATATAGTCTTCTACAACTTGCTTTCCTTGTCTGAGCATTGTATTTGTAAAATCCATCTATTTTGTGTGTATAGACGTGGTTCATCCATTTTCGTTGCAACGTAATTCCAATTGCCTGAATGTACCACAGTTCATTTGCTCATTCTTCTGCCACTGGACACTTGGGTTGTCCTCAGGTATTTCCTAGTCTGATCCACGTTAGTTTGAACAGTCTTACAAACACCCCCATCCGGGTATCTGTAAGAGCTGCGCGCGGGCATTTCCCCAGGAGAGGACCTGCTGAGTGATGTGGTATGCCGATGTTCAGTTTTATGAGATATTGCCAATCTTTTTCTCCCAAAGTGTCTGTTCCAGTGCACACCCTCGCTGCCAGTCTGTGAGAGCTCCTGATACCCATCTTTAGCACTAGTGTTAAGCGCACTGATCTTGATACTAATAGAAACCATACAATGGCTGCAGAGGTGACAACCCAATTGGCTGAGCACCCACTCAGGTGAGGCCCCAAACGCCTACCCTGCTGACCTGAGGAGGTGGTGGGGACAAAAGTGGCCTCAGGGGAACTCAACAGACTGAGGAGGGTCCCAGGGAGGTAATCCCTCCTCACCTTCCACTGCTATCAGCTGGGTCCCAAATGGGTTCTCAGGCCTGAGGTACCTTAGGTCCCAGGTGGGACCCCTCTCTGTGTGGGGAGAGGGTATGGTGGTAGGGGCCAGGAGCACTGAGCACAGGAATTCCAGGGATTTTCAAGGGGTGACTTTGTTAGTTGGGGGTTAGGGGATGCCAGCTAATGTAACTTTCAGGAAAGGTTTGCTTTATTTCTTTAACTCCCAGATCCCTTAGGAGCAAATCAAGGATGGAACAGAAAACTCAGGGGCCTGGTCAGCAAAATCCTTAGAGGGTCCTGAGGCAGAACACCCTGCTTAGCATATCCAGAGTCCATCTACACTCCAGAAGGACTCCCTCCAGCCGGGGCCACTGGGGGAAGGGAAAGCAGACAGCGAGCAGGCAGGTGGTCCCACCAGGCACCAGGCGGAGAGCAGCCCACCTTCAGACCCTGGCTGCACACACTTTGACCTCCTCCTCCAGGGAGAGACGCAGCGTGCTCAGGAGAGGGGAAGGGTGCAGGGTGGAGGACAGAGAACCTGAGATGGCTTGTCTCCAGTGAAGCGAAGCAAGAGCTTGAAGCTTCCCTACAGCGTCGCAACCCTGAGAGCTGCCCCATCAGCTCGGCATCTCCTGGGAGGGGCTCCCACAGGAAAAGAACTTGCTAGTGTAGTCTGACCTTGGGGCCTGCTTTGGCCCCCAGTTCTGAGTCTGGGCTAGAACTGCCCCTGATGGCAAGTGGTGGGGGGGGGGGAGCGGGTCGGGGGGCCTGGGGGGAAGGAATGACAGCCTACAACTGGCTTCTCTTGGGCTGCCAATAGTCTGGCTTGGGGAGAAAGCCTTGCTGGGGTCAGCCCTCTGGCTCTGGAAAAATATATAATGTGCCTTTGCTCCAGTCCAGGTATTTGGATGAGTAGGTGGGTCTATAGCTCCTCTTTCTGGCTAGAGAGGTGGTTCCTGCAAGGAAACTGGGGTCCTGGGGAATTCTATCTGAGTTCTCTCAGACAGATCCTAGCTTTCTGCCAAGGCACCTTAGGAAGACAGAAACCTCTCTGGGACTGGGGATTATCTTAGTTGGGAAGGGATCCCCTAGGAGGCCCAATTTTGAGCTCAGGTGGGAGGCAGGTGGGGGAGGGATGTTGTAGAGAAATCCTGGAAACCACATTTCAGAGTATCTCTGGAATGGACTCTGTTCAATCCCTGAACCCTGAGTCTGGGCAGGCAGTGCTGCCTGGAGGCTTCATTAGCTTCTTCTTGGCCTTCTTCTTCAGTCCAAGGGCTGAGCTGAAGGCTGAGAAGACAGAGCACAGTCCAAGAAGCCACGAGACCGACAAGCCACAGAAAGAACCGCTGGTCCCAGGGATCGTGGATTTCAAGGTGATCCAAGAGGCATTGAGGACCCCCAAGCCCCAAGCCCTTGGCACCTACCGCTTCGGCCACCTCAGCCACCACTCCTTCTTCTCCCGGCATCACCCCCACCCACAGCGCGTGACCCACATCCCAGGTAGGGCCGGGCTGGCCAGGGCCTGGCCGCCGGTGGTGGGGACTTTTAAATCCTGGAAAGGGTGGACCCAGGCCCTATTTCTAGGCTGAGGCCCAGAGAGAATGGGGACTTGGCCAGACTCACAGAGCTGCTGGGCCACTTGCAAGCACTTGGCCAAGTAAAGACTTAACTTGAGGGGCAGGCTCCAAGGGCAGACCACATGGCCCTGCAGAGTTTCCCTTATTGCCGATTCTCCCACACATCGGAGAACAGGGTGCATGTTCTGCCTCAGAGCTGCACTCTGTTTGCCAACACAGGTCATTCCACCCATTCTACTGAGTGTGAACCACATATGAGTCAGGCACTTTCTTAGACCCTGGGAACATGACAATGAACAAGACAGTCCCTGCCCTCAGGAGCTAACTCTTGGGGTGGGGTGGTGAGGAGGACGGGAAACAGACCCAGCATCAGAGCATGGTGAGCGCCAAGGCTGTAGAGGGGGAGAGCTAACCAATGGCATGACTTTTGAGCAAAGAACTAAAAGAAGAGAGGGCATGAATCCACCATGTGGACGTTGGGGTTGGGGTGCAATGTCCTGGGCGGAGGGAAGAGCGAGTACGAGGGCCCTGAGACAAGCCTCCTGCCTCTATTGGAGGGACAGCAAGGAGGCAAATGTGGCTGGCGCAGAGTAAGGAGGAGGAGAAGGAGATGCAGCAGAGAGGCCATGGGGATCCGGATCGTGTGGCCCTGGAGGCCACTGTAGCCATTGCTGAGCCATGTCACTGAGTCAGATGAGAGCCACGGAAAGTTGAGAGCAAAGCAGTGTCAGAAGTGACCTGTTGGCCTCTGTCAGGTGGTGGCTCGAACCAGGGAGGTCGTAGTGGGAGAGTCAGTGGCCCCGCTCTAGAGATACACTGAAGGTAAAGCCAACGAGATCTGCTGATTGATTAAAAATAGTGTGAGAGGGAGAGAGGAGTCAATGTTGACTCTCAGGTTTCAGGCCCAAGCAACTGGAAAACCAGAGCTGCATTGATTGGGACAAAGATGACTTCAGAAGGGGCTGTGGAGTATGGGGGAGGAGTCAGGAGTTTGGTCTGGGACCTTAGAGGTCAGAATGTGAGATGTCTTTTAGACAACCAGGTGGAGACACATAGGAGGTCTGGAGTTCAGGGGAGAGGTGCAGACACGAGAACGAGTCAAGTATGAATGGTGGTTGGAGGGGCACGCCTGGATGGGACTGTCCGGGAGACTATGTGGATAACCTGGGGGCTGAGCCCCAGGGACCCCAAGGCTAAGGGGCTGAGAGGAGGAGTAAGCAACCAAGGAGATGAGAAGTGGCTGGCAAGCTAGGACAAGCCAGGAGAGTGAGGAGCCTGAAAGGAAAGTGTTTCAGGAAGGAGACAGTAAGCATTCATTCTGTCCTGATGAGGCCAGCCCTCAAAGCTTAACTACCTAGCAGCAACACGACATCACACAGACCGTAGGCTGAAGGGTCCGCAGGTATAGGCTGCTTGCCACTACCTCCAGGCTGCTGGTGTCAAGCCTGCACGGGCTGACAGATGGCAAAGGGTTTTATCCAGAGGCTTTAGCTAAATCTCACTTTCTGTGGTTTGAGCCCAGGTCCCTCTCGTCAGAGACTGTGGCTTATTGCCTCCACTCCCATGTGTCCCGTGTCGGGCTGTTTACCTCTGTGTGCTCACACCTGTCATAGCCAAACGGACCTCAGAACCAGGGTCTTGGGAAGCCTGACTTGCTGCGTGACCTTGAGTGCATCACTCGGCTGTCTGTTCTAAGTGCTGGGGGTCAGGTCTGGGGGGTTGCACAGGCCCTCCAGGCCCTAACGATTGATCTATGGGCTGTGGGCCCTGGAAGAAGTGGGGCCAGCGCCCTCCCTGCCCAGCCTGCTGGGGCCCTTGGAGGCCACTCAGGCCCACCCTCCTGCAGCCTCCATCCCTTCACAGATCTCACCGGGAGGCCCGTGTGTGTCGTCCGGGACAAGTCCTCTTGGTCTCCCTTGCCTCAAGCCTCACTCTTGTCCCACTACCTGATGAAGATGCCCACTGTCCCTGCCCCCGTTGGAGACCCGCGGTCCAATCGGGACCCTCAGCTTTTTTCTGGTGGGTACTTGGGCCACAGACCCTCTACCTTGGGGTTATGCCTGTCTCCAAGGGCTGTCCCACTTGCATAGGTGCCTGAGAAAAAAGTAGGATCCATCAGGTACCCCATCTTTCCCTCATTTCCTTTGGCATCTGCATCTGCATTATTCCCCCCACCCCTCAAGTCCTCAGAAATGTGCCCTTGCTTGGATCTGAGGTGTTTGAGGAGTAATCACAGGCAGAGGACAAGCAGATTTGGGCAACAATCATGTGACAGCTACAAACAGGAACGATATTGGAAAGATTTGGTGCTTGGATTCAGGCACCAGCCATAGGAATGGTCAGCCATTGGTGGCACGGCTGCAGGGAGCCCAAGGCCTCTGCTCTGCCAGGCTCCGCCCTTTCGGTCACAGGGAGGGGTCCTGCGGGAGGAGCTGAGGCAGCCTGCAGGCAGAGAGGTTTGGATGGCTTGGTCAGTGCTCCATACCACCCTCTCCAGTAGTCCAATATTTTAGTAACTGGCACTCCATATCAACTAAATCTCAATCTTGGCTTTGGTTTCCTAAAAGGGACAAAGCTAAATTAAATCACTTGTATCTTAGCATAAATAGTCAAATGCTCTCCAGCAGCTCCCACTGGCTAGGATAACCACAGCCCCTCTACAGCCCCTCCTACCCACGGACAATGCGCTTCCTAATCCTTCCTCCAAGGGCGCCACCTCCCCTTCCCTTAAGATGCAAGTGGGCAACTGGGAGGAGAAGATGCTCTTCCACCTACAGCCCCCCAACACCTGATGCCACTGGGAGGGCAACATTTGCCAGGATCTTGTCCCCTTCCCCCAGAGGCCTGGAAGAAGGAGTTGAAGGACCTGGCTTCCCAGGTGGTCACATTCAGCAAGGAGAATGAGCTGAAGAACAAAGAGGTGGGTGCAGAGCAAAGGAGCTGTTTGGGAGGAGATGCAAGGGGCCCAGCCCTTTGTAAGGAAACCCCGCCCAGTCTGGCCAACCTGATCAGCAGAGGAGCAAGTGATGGCTGAGCGCTGCTGTTCGCACTGGGAGGAGGGCCGACAAATACCAGCCTGTGGGAGGTGGCCACAGTGAGGGCTCAGAGGAGCAGAGAAACATATGGGGGGTGGGAGGGGGGCAGTGGGGAGAAACGCAGGAAGGATTCCTAGTTCAGAAGTGGGCGGGGGCATCCTCATAGAGGCACACAGCACAGAAGCTCAGAAGCTGGAAAACACAGGGCATCTTTAGAGAGCAGGGGGCTGAAGTGCAGGGCAATAGGGGAGAAGGTGGGAAGGGCCAACTTAGAATGTGGGCAAGAGCAGCTTGTTCTAATTCCTGAACTTAGCGTAGTGCCTAATCTCATAAGGAGTGGAGCGCCACTGAAGGTTTTCAAACGGGAGTGGAGTAGCCTTATGGGTGCTATTTGCTGACCAGCAAAGACAAGTTGGAGGCAGCTTGAAGGTAGTAGGAACTGGTCCTAGGACAGGCCTGGCCCTTTGTGGGTGAGTCCCGTCCTGCGCCTGTGATGGGCAGCAGAACTCTCATTTCTGCTCCGCAGCGAACTCACTGTGGCTCTGGGGGCAACTCAGCTAAAGATCTGGGTCTCAGTTTTTCTTGTCTTTAAAATGGGAAAAAAAGATATTACCAGTCTGAACTGGAGTTCCTGAGTCTAGAGGCCCCAGGCCTTGTGCCCGCAGGCCCAGCTTAGGAGGGTTTCTCAGGGCTAAGACAGGATGCCCAGCTGTGGGAGACAGACCTGGGGGCAGCTGAGCTAGGAATTAAGGTAGGTGGTGGGGACCTCAGCACAGAATACCATTTTTAATTATCTGACGGGGGCTGGGGGCAGGGGTAGCAGGGAGGGCCTGCCCGGGAGGAAGGACCACAGTGGGTGGCGAGGGGGTGAAGAGAGTAGGTGGGTGGTCAGTGTTCAGTGAAGTTTCAGGAGGAAGAGCTTCAGCTACCATGGAAGGGCCCCTGCTGGGGAGAGGGGTGTAGCACAGGGTGGGGCTGGCCTGTTCCACGTCCTGGGTCCCTGCGATGCTGTGATGCTGAGGTTCCAGGAGAGGAGGTGATGGGCACCCTGGAGACCTGACCCGGCCTCCCTCTGTTCTCTTCTCTTCCCCTCTGCCCTCTCTCCTATCTGTCTGTCTGTCTGTCTGTCTATCTATTCCATATCCCCACCCCTGGAGTCTCTGGCCACTTTTCTTCCAGCAGGAGGAGCCTAAAAGGGAGCAGGGGGCGAAGTACTCAGCAGAGACTGGGAGGCTCATCCCTGCTTCCACCCGAGCGCTCAGCCGCCGCCACTCCCGCCAGGGCCCAGGGAGCTACACTCCCAGCAGAGACGGAGGAGTCCAGACCTTCGTCCTGCAGGATCAGGAGCTGCTGGTGAGACCCTGGGAAGGCTGGGGCTGCGGCCCTAGTGAGGCCCTAGTCTGACCACCGAAAACAGGGTGGTGTCGCTCCCAGACTTACAGCGATCCCAGCTGGAACTCTCACAAACTGCTAAGAGTGAACTCTCCCAGGGATACTTGTACCCAAGACTGTAAGACCCGAAAACTCCAGACCTGAGAGACAGGAGCCCAGTCCCCTGCTGCTTCCAGGTTTCTGTGTAATCTTTTCCCTCTTTGCTAAGTCCTTTCCCCGCTTGGGGCCTTAGTCCCAGGATCGGGCCAAACTGGGGGCACGGACACGGTAGCACTGAGGTCTGTTCCCACTTCGGCACTGGGCAAGTTAACGAGGGGAGCTGCAGTGGTGGGGTGAGGAGCGTGGAGACGAAGGTCCTGCCCAGCGTGTCCTCAGACCACCCCCGGTGTGTGGCACCCTGCCGCCTGCAAGGCTGGCCCCAGCCTCGTCGCCCCACACTCTGAGAGGCGTCTGGTCTGTGCTACGACAAAGCACAAAGCCCACCTCCCCACATTCAAGTTCACCCATCAAGGCCTAAGATGAGTCCATGACTCGTTCCAGTGGGTTAAGGTATTGAAAGTCCCTGTTAAAATGCACACATGTTCTCCAGGAAAGGCCAGACAATTAGCCAGAATCTTAGCACCTTGCCTGTGACCAGTGCATTCAAAACAGCCCAATGAAGTGAGTGAAGCCGACAGGGCCCCAGATCCTCATGTCACAGATGGGGAGGCTGAGGCTCTGCCAGGTGACATTTTGTGGCCCAGGTCCTCACAGAGGAAGCAGCAGAGCTGGGACTAGAACACAGTACTTTCTCCACCATAGGGCGGCTCCACCTTGCCTGGAAATAGGTTCTCAGGTTCCTTGGGGAGGGTGCACAGGGCAGGTAAGTCGGATGCCTGGGAAACTGAGAAGGACCCTGGGGCAGAGTGGGGGCAGGGTCACCATAGAGGGTGGGTACATGGGGGCAAGGGTGGACACCCTAGCAGGCATAGGCCTGGGGGTGAGGCAAGCCCAGGTTCCCCTCTGACCTCCACTGGGTCAAGTGGGCTCTCCTGAAAGAAGGAACCCCCTTTCCTAGGACGCCAGGTGCTCCATCTCCCATCGCGGGCTCAAACTCCAGCCAACCGCAGACAGACCCGCCATCAACATCATGTCCTAGGGAGCCCCCGTAGCCCTTTCAAGACAGAGCTGGATCTTTTCCCAATGACCCTTCACTGGAGGATGCAGGGGGGAAAGGGCCCTGAAGCAGCAAAGATGGCAGATGCTGAGGACACAGCCGCAAGCAAAGCGGGCACCCTGCTCGGTGGCAGGAAGGAGCCCCAAGCTAAGCAGCTTGCAAAGCCAGCCAACCCCCACTGGGATCACCCCGCCTCTTTGCTAACATCTCCAGACTTTGAATTTGGGAACTTCAGGGTGGGGAGGCTCCTGGGGTCCCTGAAATCCCCACACCAAGGATGCGGGCATTTGGGACTCGGTGCGTCTCTGAGGAGCTGCCTGTCCAGCTCTGACTTCACCTCCCCAGGGAGGGACTTGGGGTACAACCAGCCCAAGCAGGGTTCAGAGATGAGGGGCCCACCTATCTGATTCTGAGGGTTAGTTCTGCCCCCATCTCCCTGCTGGGTACCCTCCTCTCTCTAGGCCTCAGATTGCTTACCTGTTCAGTGAGGAATTGAAGACTCTCCCCTCAGTGCTGTTGGGAGAGCCAGCCCTCTGTAGAGTGCAAAGTCCCATGCAGACGGGAGGCAAGGACCATCGTGGGGACCACTTTAGCCAAGCATGTGGCTCTAGAGCCCACTTCAGGGGGCAGGCACCCGCGTTGCCGGCTGGAACAGGCCATCCAGCGCACTGACCCACGTCTGTCCCGCCCACAGATCTTGGAGCTCCTTTGTCAGATCCTGCAAACAGACTCCTTGAGTGCTATCCAGTTCTGGCTGCTCTTTGCTCCTCCCAAGGGTGAGATTCAGCCCCATCCCAGGTTGTCCTCGGAGTGGAGGATGCTGAGGGCCTTGTCCGCTGGTTCGGCAGCATTCACATGTCACCGTGCTCCCTCCCCAGGGTTCTGTGCCTGAGCCTCGAGTCCTTTTTGGAGCCCCAAACTAACTGTCCAGCTGGACATCAGCTCCCTCCTCCCGTTCCTCAGCAGGATGTCCATGACCCTGCTCCCCAGAGGGGACCCCTCCTCTGCGCTGACCGCAGGCCTCGGCACCTGGGAGGGAGAAGTCCAAAGACCAGACTTAGCAGACTCAGCCCCCTCACCCACTGCCATGGAAAATGCGCACGCACACAAATGCAAACGCAAGCATATAATAACACACATGTACACGCACGTGAACACATGAAAGGGCATACATGCACATGTTGGGACGGGGTGGAGGCTATGCCTAAGTGGGAAGGTGAGGAGTGGTGAGAACCGAGAGCTGATTGGGAAGGCTTCCTGATGGGAAGAGTGCAGCGGGAGGAGGGGCCGGTCCCCTATGGGCTTCCCAGTCGGGTCAGGGTGGGAGGTGGGCAGGTGGGCCAAGAGCAAGGTGCACATGAGGAGGTGTGGAAGGGCTGGGCACACGGCACACACAGGGCCCGGGAGAAGTAGGACCTCCCCGTGGGGCCCCACGGGCAGAACGTGAGGTGGTTAGAGAAAGCTGCCCAGGCCAGGGTCAGGCAGAAGGGCTAGAGGCCCTGCTTCCTGCATGTCCCATCCAGGGACAGAATGGAGTCTGGGGTCGTGCCCCTGAGGACTCTGCTCCCCGGCTCTGCTTACAGAGAAAGACTTGGCCTTGAGGCTCCTGCAGACAGCAGTGGCTCAGCTGCTTCCCCAGCTTCTCGTCTCCATCCCGACAGAAAAGCTCCTAAACCAGCTCCAGGAGGTCCAGGAACCACCCCAAGAAAGGCCACAACCATCATTCAGGTGGGCTTCATACCCCTCACCTGCCCCTCTGGTCCCAGAACTGCTCCCTCACAGTCAGCACCTGTCCTCCCAGGCGAGGCTAGGGGGGTCCAGAGCAGGGAGCCGGGCGCTGGCCGAAGCCTGGGCTGACTGAGCCTGTCCTGGAGGGGGAGGGGAGCCTTTCCCGTGGGACCCTCCAGGGCTGCTCCTGCTGCTCAAAGACCCGGTCTGTCAGACCTGACCCGAGCTGCCGGCTGTAGGGGTGCCTGAGGAGCTGGCCTGTACCAGCTGTAGCAAGACAGGGCTGGAGAACCACAGCGAGCCCTCCCGAAGCTCTTGGGAAGATACAGGTGGAGAAGGAGTGCTAACACAGGCAGGCAGTGGTGCCTTTATGTTGGTTTTAGGGCCCTGGATGGCTGGAGAGAAAGAGATTAACCCCACGTGGGTAAAAGAAAGGTGAGGGGAGGCTTCTCAAAGCAGGCAAGGAGGGCCAGAAAGCCAGCACGGGCGCCTGCAGTACTGAGTGCCCGTGATAGCTGCCTGCCGTCGCTGGGTGCTTTACACGGTTCTAGTCCATACAGCCACCCATGGAGGCCCTGTCACCTCCATTTTCCAGGTGAGAAAACTGAAGCTCAGAAACAGTCGAATGACCACAGCCACCTGGCTGGTCAGCAGAAGAGCTGGCTTGCCTGCTTTATATGCCCAGCTGTGCTCAGGTTCACAGCAGAGCTGGTTAAAAGTGACAAGTCCTAGAGCGTCTAACACAGCTGGTGGTGTGGGAGGCGGGTACACAGGGGTACCCATTGTGTATTTCTAACAATCACCCAGGTATTTCTGCTATGGCTTGGAGAGCCCTGCTGGGTGAATGGGACTTGAATGAAGGAAGGTGGGGCGGGCCGGGGTGGGGGCGGGGAGCGGAGGGTCAGGAATGGAATCAGGAATGTGTGCACTTAGCGGATATTAGGTTGTGGGGTGGCTGCAGCGTGATGGGCTTGGGGAGGAATAGGCAGGTGCTTGTGCTCATTCAGATTTGTTGAAGGTACGGGCACTGCGTTTGGTTTTCTCTCCCACGTGAGAAGGCCAGAGGAGGCAGAGGAGCAAGGCAGGCTTGCCTCACTGCGGCCTTGGTGATGCCACCTGTCTGTCTGAGCCTCAGTTTCTCCTCCCCAAGCCCCTCTCCCATAGTTGCAGGGAGGACAGGTTACATCCGGTGCATGAAAAGGCTTGCTGAAGCATAAAGCCAATACGAGATAATATAAGAGCATTATTCGTGCTTGGAAGTAATTCACCAGGGAAGCTGGTTCTCATCTTCTCCACTAAGGGGGAGGCTCCTGTCTGCAAGGAGGCAAGAGACCAAGAGAGGACCCGCCTGGGGCAGCGCTGGGGGACAGGAGTGCCTTAGTTCCCTGTGGCCACGGCAGGCAGTGGAGTCACGGTTGTCAGGGTCCCGCTTGGGGTGGTGCCAGCCACGGACAGACACTTGCTGGTTCTCAGGGACGACTGGCTCCTACCTCTTCCCGGAGAACCTCCCTCGCCTCCCTGCCCATACTGCCGCTCTGCCAGGATGCGCTCTGGCCTGGCCTTCACTGACCTTCTTTCCTTTGTGTTGGTTACAGCCAATCCCCGAAGAAGTCGAAGACTACGGCTCTACCAAAAAGCGAAAAGCCAGGTAAGATTCCACGTGGCAGGTCCCCGAGGCTCACCGAGGCCCACCCTGGCTGGATTCCTTGGGGGGTTTAAGATTCCTTGGAGATGGGTCTCTGCCCAAAGAAGCTGTTCATCTCATCCATTCACTCATTCATCTGTTCAACAGAAACTTACTTAGTACCTGTGTGCCAGGCTCTAGGGATCTTTGGGAAGAATTCAGACAAGTCCCTGCTGTCAGGGAGCTTGCATACTCGGGGGAGGCGTGCAGGCAACGAATAAAAACGCCCGAGGGGCACTCATGCCACGAGGAAAGTAAGGCAGGGTGACGTGCGAGGCAGTGAGAAGGCCTGGCACGGTGAGGAGTGGGCTCCTTGAGCTGAACCACGGGAAGGGTTCAGCCTGAAGCAGGTCAGAGGAGAGCCGACAAGCAGGAATCCTACCTCCTGGGGTGATGGTGACAGAGCGAGCAGACCAGGGTGACCTGGGCCTTGTGGGTTGGGGACGGTGGTAAGAAATGAGATGAGACAGATGGACCTGGTATGTGGTCTCATGCAGAGGACACGGGGTGCACTGGAGGGTCACGGGCAGGACCCCTCTGGTTCCTGTGTGGAATATGGACTCTCAGGGGCTGGAGGGAATGAAGGAGGTGAGGGAGGAGGCTGCTGTGGTCACCCGGTGTCTTAGACCACGGCAGGGAGGGGGGTGTTCAAGGGGAGAAGAGACAGTACCTGCCATGCACTAGATTCTCCCTCACTACACTGTACAGGGTCCTGAGTGGCTGGCGGAGTGTCTGCAGAGAGTAGGCACTTCATAGATATGTGTTACCTGGATGTGGAAAGAAGAGGGTGGTAGTGAGGCTCAGAGAAGAGTCCGCTCTCCCCGTCACCGGCAGAGCCCAGAGCAGAGCAGTGTTGACTCGGGCTCTCAAGCATCTCCCCCTGCTCTGGCACATCTTCCCGGGGCCTTGCAGGGGCAGGGGTCCCCCCAAGTCTCCTGGGCAGCTCCCAGGTAAGGCTCTGGCCCCTCCTAACCCTCTCCCACACGCTATGTCTCCCCTTCTCCCAGAGCACATCGGGAAAGCACAAGTTCTGCGAATACATTCAAGCCAGAACACAGAAGAGAAAGCGCCAAAGCCAAAGACAGAGTTCCAAGGAGTCTGCCCTGCTCTGCCCGCCCAGCTCTAAAGTCAGCCCGGAATTCGAACTTGTTTTCGCCTCCGCCACCTCAGCAGCAATACGTGCTTTCCTATCACACAGAGTCTATTAAAATAGGGTCTTCCCTTTAAGAGGACGGTTCACTCTCCTATCAGCAGCAGGTCTGTGCTTGGGTTGTTTCTTCCTCAAAAGTGGGGTGAGCTGCGTGGAACCGCCCCCACCCCCCGGAGAACTCCTGAATGCCACTGCCCGCGTGGGGCTGACCTCGTTCCTTTGCCATCCAGGGAGCGGAGAGCAAATCGTGTCTGGGGCGGCCTGCGAAAGCTCTGCTGCTCCTTGAACCAAGGCACACAGGGCTCTGGGCGGTTAGGGCAGAGGTCAGGAACCCGCAGGCCTCCTTCAGATAACCATGGACACCAGTTGCTGAAGTCCTGCCAGGCACTGAGGCGGGGACTTTGGTAACAGCTAGTGATGAACAGTGCTACCTGACCCCAAAACGTCAGGGGGCTTTGGCTAAATATAAATGACAGATTTGCTCCAGGGTCTTAGGGTTTGCAAACTGGAAACACAGCTAGGCAATGCCCAGAGTGTTCCGACGGCGAGAGAAAAGCCGAGGGTTTGTGCAGTGAAAAGCACACCTGGCCCTGCACCGCAGCCCCGGACCCGCTGGGGTGGTGTCCGTCAGGTGTCTGGTGGTCTGCAGCGGGACGTGCTCTCTCTGAGGCTGCCCCGCGGGTTCCCTGCAGGTTGGAGGCACATCCAGGCTTTGACACAGGGTCAGAAAGTTCAAAAGTTTAAGTTCCCAGGATCAGTTAAAACAAGAAGAATTGTTTCCTCATGGCTCAGCCTACTTATTCTCCATAATTTAGCAGCTTGATGGTAACAACTCCATTTCATTTCTTCACTCTAGTCCCCAAACACTGCGTGAACTGTTCTACGTGCTTTGTATGTGGCCCTCTGTTTGAGTCTCCCAAAAGCTCTATGAGATGGAGTATTAATATTGTAACTACTGCTTTATAGATGAATAAACTGAGGCTCAGAAAGGTGAAACAAGTTGTCCGAGGTACGTAATACATGGCAGACCCCAGATCCACACCCAGCATGTCTGGTTCCAGAGTCCCCACTGCACTTTACTGACTTACAAATAGCAACCCTCACCAGAAGCTGTGGCTACATTCCTGAAAAGCATAATGGTTAGCAAGATGGTGGTTGGCAAGGTCAAGGAGGAAAGGGGCAGCGTCATATAAATGTGACTCAGACACCCTCAAGGTGTGTCTGTCTTTTAAGATCTGGAGAAGATGGCCTTGACCCTCTGGGAAGTCCACTGTCATCCTTGAGATATCTGCAAATTCCCTGAAAGGTACAGGGGAGGAAGGCACTGAGGATTTACAACACCAAGGTCACCTGAGGCTCTGTGCCCCTACTTCTCTGAGTTCAGTCCCTGGATTGTGGCTCCGTTCCACACTTACAGCGCTGCTCCTCCTCACATCAGTTCAGGCGGATTAAGTCCCTCTGGGTTTTCCCAAATACCCCATTCCCAGGAAATTTTTGTGTGTGCCAGGCTTCACTGGGGATTAGAGGCTGGACGGGAATTTGCTGTGAATCCAGCAAACAGCTTCATGCTCAATATTGAATAGCCTTGGTTTTGAAAAGTCCCTGGTCACTCTCCCAGGGGGGATTTTTCCTTGGTGGCAGCCTCTCGCCATATCGCTGGCTTTCTCCTCCTCTGTCCTCTCCCCTGGCACCAGTTTCCCCCTAGAAAGCCCACATTTTAATGCTTTTCCAATTTTTTATTGTGGTAAAATAGGTATCACCTAAAACGTACCGCTTTAACCATTTTTAAGCGTACAGGTCAGCAGTGTTAAGCCCAGTCACGGTGCTGTGCAGCCATCGCCACCGCCCGCCTGCAGAACTCTGTCTAGTGCAAATCTAAAACCCTGTGCATTGATAACTCCCCATCCCCTTGCCCCCACCCGCCCCCAGTCGCTGGGATAAGCTGACTTCATTCAGTGCTCAGGACAACACACAAAGCAGGTGTGATTAGCCACGGTTTACAGTCACATGTCAAAGTTTACCTAGCCATTAGGTAGTGGATTCAGGCCCAGGGCTAAGGGGCTCCTCAGTCAGCACCCTTCTGATATACCGCCCTCATGCAGGCCGCACCCCAAACTCTACAGTCTCCAGACAAAGAAGTAGAGTCTTCTCTCACTTCCAGCCACATCACCCCCTCTTTCCCTCGGCTCTTCCTCTCCAGCTCTTGGATATGGAGTAAGGCACGGCTGGCACGGCTGGCTCTCATTCCCTGGGTCCTTTTCAAAGTCTCCCAGCAGGGAGCACCCTCTTCCCTGTCTGAAGGGAATCACTGCAAAACCCCAGGGGGACAGCCAGCTGGGGGAGATGAAGGTTCCAGACATCTGAAACAGCACTGGTTGGAGTAGTTAGTGGCCTTCCTCGTCCGTCAGCTGCGCTGGGCCTGGGTCCCTCCGACCTTGTGCAGGCTGGTCACTGGGCTGGGGCCTGTAGGTCCGTCTGGCTTTGCAGAGTCTCTGTGCTCTGCTGGGCAGCACTTCCTGTCTCAGTGGCTCGACCCCATTTGACTTCTGGGTGTCAGGACACTTGGGGGTCACTCCTAAGTTTTCCCTAAACCCAGGCCCTGGAATTTGTCTCCTTACCCTCTGCGTCTCTGACTGAAGCATGAAGACAGATTTCCCCTTTGAATTATATCCACAGCATCACAGTCTTGAGGTGTTATTTATCGAAGTTCCTCATACCGTGAAATAAATATGAATGTGTTAAATCAATGGCCACCGAAGTTCCTCTGTTGTACCATCGGAGTGTACTTACCATACCGTGAGAAAAGGGGACTAGAAATGATAGCAACTGAAGATGAGAGAGGCACCTCAGGACTCTTGGCTCAAGGGCTCATCTTCTGATGGGGGTCAGCTTCTCACCGCTCACTTTGCTGGCTCATCAGTCTCCCTGCCCTACCCATCCCACTCAAATAGATGTGAATAGGCTGGAGACCCATTCCAGCAAAGGCAGGGAGGAAGGTTGTAACCTCACTGCTAGAACCTCAGGATCCTGCTGTTGGGCCGGGGCCGTTCCTCAGATGTTCCGTAGCCCGTTCCGAGCCCATGAGAAACCCCACTGTGGCAGCCACAACGTGGTGTCCAACTTCAGCTTAGACATCTGCAGTCACAGAGATCTCACTACTGTTACAGAACAGACTGGTGTGGCGCGCGGGGTGAACGATATACTATTACCAAAAGGACCCCCCTGTACTAGGTTTGCTATGCCCGCCACCAGAGGAAAGACGTCTCTCAATGCCAGAGACTGGTGAAAAGGAAAGGAATGATTTATTTAAAAGCTATACAGACTTAGAGTAATGACTTAATGTCTTCATTAAATACTAAAGTCCTTTAGAATACCCACAGATGCACACAGTCCTTCCTTCTTCTGTTTACTCAGTCCGGGGTACTGTATCTCAGGAAAAGAAGTAGAAGTCCGTGATTCAGGCTCGCGGCACCATCAGCTGTGTCGCTGCCACAATCTCCAGTTAATCCAAAGCCATATGGCACCATTTTATGGCTCACCAGCAAGAGTCCTTTCACCTCTTTTCTTCCAGACAAAGTCTCTCCTGCTTCCTAAACCACGTGGCAAAAGGGAGCAACCAAAAGCCGGGTGGTCCCAACCTGGTATGGCTGCCGTGCCTGGGTTTAAATCCCCGCACCAATCTTCCTCTGCAGCCCCATTTCCAACTCCTCCCACACTCAGTTACACCTGCCAGCATTCCCGTATTCTTCCAGCTTTACTGGGCTGCCAAAGTGAGTCTGAGCAGGCGTGGCCCCATGGCCAATCATCTCCAAGCTCTCACGCAGGCGCTGTAACCAGGGGGAGTTTCTTCCCAGTTACTTCCTGGGTGAAAGTGACTTCCATTCCCCTGGCTCAAAGCATGGCCACAGCTATTTAACATATCCATGAAACCAGTTAAAGGCTATAGATATGTTAAATGACCATGCCAGAGGTTAGCTGCAAAGCTGTTGCTATACAAAACAGCCCTCAGTGGCCCTGCTCCTTGTGTCCCGTCCCCAGCTCAGACTGGTGGGGGTGAGGACATCATATATATTTTTTTCTCTAATATTTCCTGAACAACCTGAGTTCTGGACCCCATTACAAATTCCTACTTGGGGTCCCCCCTTGGCTGCACCCTGTTACACTACCTGTCCTAGCTGCTCCAAATTTAGTTCTTTCCCCAGAACCACAGCGATCAAGTCTTTCCTTCCTCTGGCTCATTTTGCCCATGTCAAAACTCTGCAGAAAGGCTCGATTAGACCATGCCTCCTTTCAAAGCTTTTATACTGTTGGGAACGGCCCTGCCTGGTTTCAGAAACTGTAACCCCTTGTGGCTAAGGCTGAGTAAAAAGAGCTTGGGACCATAAACCATTAAGGAGACAAAGCTTATCTTCCTTGTAGGGGTGCAGCCTCTGCCCCCTTTCACTTCACCTGGCTTGGCACCAGGCGGATGACTGGTTAGCCAATGACAGGAAAGGAGGGATGATCTAAGACAGGCACAGTCTTGAAGGGGCCCTCAGGGAAGGACTTGGGGGGTTATAGAAAAAGGGGGTGATGAACCCTTGCCCCTCAGCTTTGACATAGCCTGAGTCCTCATTCTGTCTGCAAGAAGTCTCCTAATCTCTTGGCTGCCTTACTTCTCCTGCCTGACTTAAGCCTGAAACAATGCTAGAGGTGGGTGCAGCCCTATGCTGGAAAGGGCAGGTTCCCTGGGGCGATCAGGCCTAAGAAAGAATGCAGAAAATCTTGTGAAACCTGCTTTGCTAAGAATACCCTCAATTTAAATGATAAGGGTCCAAGCATGAAAGGGGTTTGTTTCCCAGTTTTTTTGGTCCTTTAACTATCACACCCTGACTCAGAATAAGCCCTCAGATTTCTTTGAATGTTATCTATTGTTTGGTCATTACTGCCTGACAATGACTGATGAGCTTTACCACTTGCCCCGTATCCCTATGCAA